AAGCAACCACGTTCGCGCTCCAAACGCTGTACGGTACACTGTTTCAGCTGCAACCCTAACCCGACTTAGGCTGCCGCCACCTCGCGTCGCCATATTGTCTGCCAAATGACACCCGTGGCACAAGCAAGATATAAATTGTATAGATTACCGATCAGTTGCGCTGGCGCGTCGTCGCCGTCACGTTCGGGTTCCCAAGCGTAAAGAGACGGGGCGCGATGCTCATGGCCATGAGCTCTTGGAAGAGCAGCTTGCACGAGTACGGGATGTGCACCTGCGAGATCTGCGTCTTGTTGCGACACGTCCGGCACTCGAACGTCATCTTGCGCAGATTGGCAATCGCAATGATACCGCAGAGGTCGCACACGTGCACGCGGTACGCGTCCGAGTTGGCAAAGAGACGGTCCATCAAAAAGTTGGCCGACCCGTGCGAGATGAGGCAGTCGCGCTCCATTTCGCCCATGCGGAGACCGCCTTCGCGCGCACGACCTTCGAGCGGCTGGCGCGTCAGCATCGTCACGGGCCCACGCGACCGCGAATGGATCTTGTCGTCGACCATGTGCTTGAGACGCTGGTAGAACGTCGGCCCGATGAAGATCTGCGCTTGGAGCCGACGCCCCGTGTGGCCATTGTACAGCACTTCATTGCCGTGGCGCTGGTACCCGAGGCTATGGAGCGTGTCGGAGATCGCTTGGACCGTCACGTCCGTGAACGGCGTCGCGTCGCCTTCGTCACCGGTTTGCGACGATACCTTGCCGAGAAGACACTCGATCAAGTGGCCAATCGTCATCCGCGACGGAATCGCATGCGGGTTGACGATAATGTCGGGGTTGACGCCCTCGATCGTAAACGGCATGTCTTCTTGGCGGTACGTCATCCCGATCGTGCCCTTCTGCCCGTGGCGGGACGCAAACTTGTCGCCGATTTGCGGGATGCGAATGTTGCGGAAGCGCACTTTGGTAAACTTGAAGCCTTCGGCGTTGGTTGTGAGCATGACCGAGTCAATGATGCCGTTCTCATGCGTCCGGAGCGTCGTCGACGCATCGCGCTTTTGGTGGCGCATCTCCATGCCATTCTCGTCCGAGGCCGGCAGCGGCGACGTCTTGCCAATGATAATGTCGCTGCCCGAGACGCGGGTCCCCGGCGCGACAAGACCGTCATTGTCGAGCTTGTGGTAGCTGCCGTGCTTGAGGCGGAGGCACGTGGCGCGGCTCGGCTTTTCAAACTCTTCGCAGTTGAGAAACCCGGCCCCGCCGCCCATGCCATGCGGTGACTTGTTGCGCTCTTGGTCGACGTAGCAGCGGTAAAACGTCGACCGGAAGAGCCCGCGGTCGATCGCGCTCTGGTTCATAATGAGCGAGTCTTCTTGGTTGTAGCCCGTGTAGGTCGCAATCGCCACGATCGCGTTGACGCCGCTGGGCAGCTCACGAAAGTGCAGGTATTCCATCGCGCGAGTCGTCACGAGCGGCTTTTGCGGGTAGTTGAGGATGTTGGCCATCGTGTCCATGCGCGCGCGAAAGTTGGACGTGTAGATACCCTAAGCATTGGCGAATCAATGACATGGTCAAAGATGCAAGACGTACCATGGCCTGCTTGCCCATGGCCGACTGGTACGTGTTACGCGGACTCTGGTTGTGATCTGGAAACGGAATGATGCTGGCGCAAATGCCGAGGATCATCGACGGGTGGATCTCGCAGTGCGTGTAGAGTTGGCGCGGCTGCAGCAAGTCCTTGGGCTCCATCGCAATCATGCACACCTCTTCTTCTTCCGTGTCGATGAGCTCCACGACGCCTTCCGTGAGCAAGTTGTGCCACCGAAAGTTGGTGTGCTTGTGGTTCTGGAGCTTGACCACGTGGTTCTTTTGCAGCAGCAGTTGGTTTTGCTCGACGATAAAGAGCGGTCGGCACACGCGCCCAGCGTCCGTGTAGATGCGCAATTCCTTCTGCATGAGGTCGCGGATCACCGACACTTCAGCATCAATGTCGACGCAGCGGCGCAGCGACCGCAGCGTCTTGACGAGCTCGTTCGGCTCACGATGGACGCCGACCCAGTTGCCGTTGACAAAGATCTTGGTCGCCTGCGGAATGATCTGCGGCTTGATCTCCTCCAAGTTCTCGGTCGCCCACTCTTCGAGAAACTCGAGGATCGGCGCTTGGGGCGACCCGACCGAGATGTACGCCATGAGCGCGAGGTTCTTGACGAGGCCGACGGCTTGGCCTTCCGGCGTCTCGGCCGGGCAAATCATGCCCCAATGTGTGTTGTGGAGCTGGCGCGGCTTGGCCTGCTTGCCTTCGCGCCCGAGCGGCGTGTTGAGACGGCGCAAGTGACTCAACGACGACGCATACGTGAGGCGGTTGAGCACCTGCGACACGCCGGCCTTGGAGGCTGTCTTCTGCATGCCCCAGTTGCCCGTCGCGAGCGAGTAGCGGAGGCCGTTCGAGATGGTCTTGGACTTGATCGCGAGCGAGAGCTGAAAGTCGCGGCCGGCGTCGACGCACTTTTGGAGGTAGCCCTTGACGTCCTTTGTGAGCTTCTTGAAGAGGATGCGAAAGAGCCCGCCGAGGAGCGGCCCGGCGAGATCGAGACGCTTGTTGCCATAGTGATCGCGGTCGTCTTCGCCAATGCGGCCCAGCGAACACATGAGCAGCTTGTGGACAACGTAGCCGAGGAAGTACGCCTTCTTGGTCTCATTGTGGTCTTCGACGCCGACGTGCGGCAGCATTTCCTTTTGCAGAATGTCTTGGGCGTACCGGAGACGGTCGGCCTTGGAGACGTTGATGGCCGACCCGCGGCGCCCGATAAAGTCGAGCGCGACTTCCTGTTCCTGGATCACAAACGCCTCTTCGAGCGACGGCTTGAAGCGCTCCATGAGCTCAATGTCCGAGAAGTCGTAGCAAATGTGCTCGAGGATCTCGCGGTCGGCGACAAACCCGAGCGCACGAAAGATGATGACGACCGGGATGTCTTGGCGAATGTACGGGATGACCGCGCGGATCTGATGGCCCGAGACCGCCGACTTGCCGCCAGATTTCGTGTACATTTGCACGTACATGGTCGAGGTCGGGCGCACGCCATGCTCGACGTGCGACCGCGTCTCGCACACCCACGAGTACTTGGAGACCGACGACTTTTTGAAGCAGTAGACGTGGTTGTTGCTCATGCGCTCTTGCGCGATCAGCACCTTCTCCGAGCCGTTGATGATAAAGTAGCCGCCTTGGTCGTACACGCATTCGTTGAGCTCGGTCAACTCCTTGTCCGTCTTGTTGGTCAAGACGCAGTACTGCGACCGCAGCATGATCGGTACGGACCCGATAAACTCCTTGGGCGTGTGCTCGCGCTCGTACGGGTCCTGCTCTTCAATGGGCACGGTGCCCGCTTGGTACTTTTCGCACGTCACGTCGACGTAGAGCGGCGCCGCGTACGTGAGGTTGCGCAGCCGCGCTTCGTGCGGAAACATGACGGACGTCGAGCCGTCGCTCTCGGTCATGGTCGGCTTGGAGAGGTAGATCTGGCCAAACTGGATCTGGTAGATCGTGTCCGAGACCTTATTGGCCTTCTGGCCCGGGTTGTACTGCGCTTCGGGCGTGATGCGGATCGAGCGCGAGTCGTCGATGAGCTCCTGCATGGTGTTCTGGATGAACTCGTCGAACGAGTCGAGCTGCTGGCGCACGAGGCCCTTCTCCTCGAAGTAGGCCGAGATCACCGCCCATGCGTCCTCCTGCGAGACGCCGACGTCGCTCGTCAACTCCATCCTCGAAATTGCCAAGTCGATGGTCTGCCACACGCCACCGGACGCCCTGGCTATGTGATACACTCTATCTTTTGATATCTGCACAATATGAATACATCATATCGAATGTGAGGAGAATCGAACTTGAAGCCAAGGATCGCAGACCAGCATGAGCAGGACGACGAGCTTGGCGAGGAAGACGACGACGAGCATGGACAAGAATGCGAATGGAAGGTCAAGTATGGGCAACTGGACGGTAGGTCGAGCAGAGGCCAAGTGCATCGTGGACGAAGGATCATGGGCAAGGACTGCATGCAAAGGGCAACGAGCTTGCGATGGAGGTCCGTCGTCGCGCCTTGGACGACGACTTGCCTCGAAATGGCGCGTGCGACGACAAGGACGAGAAGCATGGTAGCCCACGTCGTGCAACCGAGCCCGCCAGACGGTACTTGACTGTGGGCGATGCGATGCGATGGATCCAGGTATCATTCCTTGACGATGAACTCGTGTAGGGCAGGATGGCGTAGAAGCCTGCTCGAGGACAACCAAGGTAACAGCAGGAGCGCGATGCCTGTCGGTGCGTCTGCAAGTGGCCAGGTGGCTGCATGCGACAGCATACATGCGCAGTGGTGCTGGCGCTGCGTTCTGGTCATGCAGAGAGAGCGTCGCCAAGCAACAGGCGTCGATGCAGTTGCTCTGCGGCCTGCTGTGACAGTGGCAGCCAAGATGGTGCCGAGGTCGCCTTCGGAGCTCTGTGCAGCGGAGCTTGCTGCTGCTGTCGCAAGGTCGATCGCAAGGATGCTCAAGAGAGACAAGTCGACTGCAAACTATAACTCTATATTCAATTTCGTTCGAAGACCGACGGGTGCTGCATTCGCTTACTGCTGCTGGCACTGGACGCCACGGGGCTGGCCCCGGTCGTCGTCCGAGTCGTACGCTTCGCGCTGCGCTTCCTGCTTGGCGGCCTCGGCGTCAAAGTCGCCGAGGAAGCACTCCTCCGAGTCGCTGTAGCGACGGACGGGCTCGGGCAAGGCAAACACGCTCTGGAGCGCGCGCACCTGGTCCGCCGACACCGACGTCGGGAACTCGATCTTGAAGAGAATCACAAGCTGGCCCTTCACGAACGGGTTGCCGTGCTGCGGCATGCCCTCGCCCTGCACTGCCTTGAACTGGTTCGGCTTGATGACCTCGCCAGGCTTGGTCTTGACGTGCAAGTGGCGGCCATCGAGGTGCTCGACGATCGTCTCGAAACCGCAGAGCGCTTCGACAAGCGTGATCTTCTTCTCCATGATGAGGTTGGCGCCCTTGCGCTGGAAGGTCCCGTGCTCCTTCTCCTGGACGACAAAGACGATATCGCCGGCGATCGTGCCCGGCGCCTGGTCGGCTTCGCCCGTGAACGTGATGCGCTGGCCGTTGCGCATGCCCTTCTCGATGTGGACCTCAAGGACCTTGCGCTCCTTCGAGACCTTGTTACCCTTGCAGCCCTTGCAACGGTCCGACTCGCGGATCGTCTTGCCCTGGCCACGGCAATCGGGGCACACCGACTGGACTTGCTGGACCATGCCGGGCGCGATCTGGCGGTGCTGGATGCGCATGCCACGGCCGTTGCACGTGTCGCACGTCTTCTCCGCGCCCTCGGCGCCGCCACGGCCATCGCAGCGGCCGCAGAGCACATCGCGGTTCACGGCGAGCTTGACCGTTTTGCCGTTGTACAAGTCCTCGAGCGACACCTTGAGCGGGTGCGTGAGGTCTTCGCCCTTTTGCGGGCCACGCGGGCGGCCACCGCCACGGCCGCCAAACATCTGGCTGAAAATGTCGGCGCCGCCGCCGCCGCCGCCGCCCTGCTGGAGGCCTTCTTCGCCGTACTGGTCGTAGAGCTCACGCTTTTCCGGGTCCGAGAGCACCTCGTACGCCACCGTGATGTCCTTGAAGAGCTCCGGGTCACCGCCCTTGTCCGGGTGGTTCTTGAGCGCGAGCTTGCGGAAGGCCTTCTTGATCTCGGCCTCCGACGCTGTCTTGGCCACGCCGAGCGTCTCGTAGTACTTGGAGTTGTCGACGTTGCCGCGCGGTGCGCCTTGGCCATGGCCGCCCTCGAAGCCGCCGCCGAAGAAGCTCTCAAAGCCGCCGCCCCACATGATTCCTGCGCTGCAAGTGGGTTTTGTGGAAATGGTGACCGGCGTTGGGTGGTCATCGGGGGCCAGGATTTCCCACACGTGGGATTTACACGTGAAATACACGAAATAGTGTATGGTGACGAAAATTCCTCGGGATGGCTTGATAAAAAGATTCGCATGCGCCTTGAACTTGATACCAGCGACGACGACGAGCTGCGACGACAGCGTTGCCAATTCCACGAGGTTGATACGAGTGCGCCGGACAATAGATCGTATCTACAAGGACCAAGGGTCCGGTACGAGTCATTGCTTTGCCATATCGAATGCACCGGCGCACTCGCGTAGCAGCGGTCGTCCCATGGCATTGGCAGGCTCAACCAACACGTGATGCAATAATACCGTACAGTGCGTCGGTGCGTTGTTCTAGCCTCTCCAGATTCCACCGCCCAAGTTGAAACACCACCACGAAACAAAGCGGGTCCAGGGCTGCATCGTTCAAGTATGCACAGTGTATTCGTGTAGAGAAAGAGACATCTATGGGTATCAAGTTTCGCTCTTGTTTGCTACCCTACCATGCGAAACGCAATCGAAAGACATTTGTGCAGCACAGGTATCAACCATTTTCAACTCGAGATCCGCTTCATACACTATTTCAAAACTCATCATCGTGTCCAACATGCCATTGCGAACGTCGTATCCAGGGCCAGCAAATGTGGTCATTCATGGAATCGACATCCTTCGTTAAGGAAAGCAGGTACATGCCCCCAGCAAAGCACTGCTTGGCAGTAGGCCGGTCCGAGTCCATTGGCGCAACAAGCCATTTCATACACTATTTAAAACTATCGACACCGTGCTACACGTGTGAAATACCCATCCTGCGTGCTAAGTGCGCCTGCGGCCAACCTCTGTCGCCGTGCACTCTTGCGTTTTGTATGGTTCGATTAAGTTCGATCTTGGTTCTCCACGCGATGTGATTGGCTGCTGCTGGGAACGGACGCCGATTTTTCGCGGGAACGTCCGCCTGTCCTGCATGGACACTGCACTCTAGTACATTCAGTTAGTAGACACACACGGCCAAGATCGACTAATACCTCGATCTCCTTGATGCATCTCTCATTTCTCTTGTACTAAATCCAGTAGACGAAAAGCTCCAACATCTCGTGGGGATTATGTAATACTAGATGATTAATACGACCGAGCTACGACGACGAGGCGCGAAGGGCGGGCTGCACAACGTCGACGATGAGCTGGACGACTTCGAACGCGCTCGGACGCCGCTCCGGCTCGTAGTCCAAGCACCGCATCGCAAGGTCGAGCACGGCAGGCGGGCAGTCGTGGCTGAACGTGGGCTTCGCCCGCTTCTGCGTCACGAGCTTGATGACGGCCATGCCATCGAGCTTGCCATTCTTGCCGATCGCTTGGTCGGCA